TGTAAGATAATATTATTTCACCAAGGCAAATTTGGCTCATCCTCAGTGTAAGAACCTGTTAAACTGACGGGTAACATACAAAACATTTTTGTACGTGAACAATATTTTATTTCTGTTTCTTTATTTCAAATACTTTTTCTGTACCTCAGATGCAATTGCAAGTCATACCCAGTCTTTTTGTTAAGGGTTGTTGTGGAAAGTAGCATAAAATAATGTGATCAACCATGGCTAAAGAAAAAAAGGAGGAGTTCAAAAGGAGGTTTTAGACTGTCGATTTGTAATGGTAACAGGACTGAGTGGAGTCCAATTCGGTCTCTAATCATACGAGTGATTAACAAAATCGGACGACCGCGTAGCGGGAGTCCGATTTGTTTAATCACGAGTACGATTACAGACCGAATTGGACGACACAAAGTTCTATTACCAATTAATCATAACTTTAACAAAATTTGTGATAAATTAGGCTCTTTTTTTAAAATCAAAACACAAATAATTGTGAGATTTTTTTGGCTGGCAGTGAAAAAAAAAGCCATTTAAGCGCGCGCGTGATGGCGCGTACTGTCCAATTACTTAGGCATGACGCGTACTGTTCTATTAAACTGTCCAATTAAGGCTGAAATCAGGGCAGTTGATAGCCAATCAGATTTGACAATTTTGTTATAGTTATGATTAACAGAATAAATCTTAGTCCTTAAAAACTGTAATCTGTCCTTGAAAACTCCTTGAAAAGTCCTTGAAATTTGTTTGTCTGAAGTTGTACAAACCATGAAAAATTAATGTTGGCAATTGGCAAGATACGGAGCATTAAGCCACTTAGATTAATAGCAAAATGCTAGTCGCACTAAGTCGCTAACCCAGTGAGGGATGTTTGCTAGCAACATTACAACAACAACAACGGTTTATTAACGTATTCTCATTTGCATACATGGCATTACATATTAAGACACTTCTGAAATTATTACATGATTTTATCTACAATTCATGATCTCAAAAATAAAAGCAGCAACTGATTTACAAATAAATGGATCAATATTGTTAAATGGGAACAAAATATTTGATTTTACATCTAAATCAGTAAAAGAGTTATATTTTTTAATGATTTCATCCAAAAATTTGTTGCAAGGTTTATCATAGGGTGCAAGAAAACATGACATGACATTCATTTTCAACTTCATTAGCTTGACATCAGGAACAGATTCTTAAGTGTTCAGGAGTCTTGGGTACATTACATGTATATCTCCCTGTTTCGAAACAAAGTCAATGATTTCCTAGGCTAGCAATGGCTTGTGGCCCATGCAACCTGCTAAATAATAATTGCCTTTGGATGATGTACTCCTATGTACCCTGGATTCACCTATGCAGGGCTCCTTTAACTTTTGGACTCCCAACATACATAATACAAGTAATATCCTTGATATTTGATTTCCCCATTTTTATTGTAGTGAGTGCATGAGAACATCAAAGTACCTAGAACTCCGTATGTACTGCATGATGTTTTTAGATGTAACTGTACGTTATTACAGCATTGATCAAGGGATTTTGTCAGTTGAATGGGCTGTAAAAGGACATTGCATACACAAGACTTCTGTTTTCTCTTATCAATAGATTTGCCTTATATGGCCTTACCACCATGTCACTCATTTGTTCAGTTTTATGTCAGCAATGGGGAGCTGTCTTGTCAGATGTATCAAAGGTCTGGTGATATGGTATGTGGCTTAATCAAACATGCATTAATTTTTGTAGTGTACCAATAGCTTGCTTTGTAGTAGTATCATTCAGAGGAGCTATTTTTTTAATAATATAAGTACTATAAATATTTTTTTAATAATATAAGTCCAGGCCCTTTAAAAGTTTAGTTTTTCAAAAGGTGGATAAACGACTTGTGATATCCACTGGATAGAGATTTTTCTAGGGGATATCACAATTCGTTTCTCTAATAGTTGTCTACTGGATAGTGATTTATCCAGTTGATACTGATTGAATAACCAGGGCCAGGCCCCTAATTCCCCTTATTATTATTATTATTTTTTTAAATAACTGATTTATTGATTGATCGATTGAATGACTCACAGGGTACTGGCTCACTGACTGGTCATTAATACTGACTACACTGCAAGCGACTAACTGGTAACCTTCTTGGCTGAGTGACTGGCTATAGCTACAGGCTGGTTGACCTACTTAATGCTGAGCGACCAACTAACAGAATAACTCTTGACAGTGATTCAGCTACTATAATTAACTGTGACAGACTTTCATACTGACTGATAAAGCTATGGCTTGTCACTAGGCGCCTGCCTGGCTGACTGGCCAGCAGAATGGTTGACTAATTGACATCTGACAACTGTCTGACTGGCTGTCTAACCACACTTGTAACTAAATAATGTTGAAATGACTTAATACTGACTGACTGACTACTGAGTGATTGCTGTTTGACATACTGAATGATTTACTGATGGCTGATGACTGTCAAGCTGACTGGTTCTTTGATTGACTGGCTACTGACAGATTGCCTTGTATCTGACAACTGAAAGTCAGGGTTTGAGCTAGGATTTGATCACTGGGGGACATTTTCATTTTTAGGGGGACAGAAATTTGTACACCCTTCTGCTGATGCAAAGGGGTTTGTCTTCTTAGGTTTCCGACAAAAATAGCACAACCATGAGTGATCTCGTGATTTTTTTGGTTTCCTTCGATCCTCATCCGTTTTTTCCTGATTAACACACTGTTCTTCTTCTGTATCATTTTTCTGATTCACTCTGGCTTTGATTTGGAGCGAAAAAGCATTCTAATGTTCGAACATTTTTTTTGATGTGACATATGTTAATGATTGCCAGGCGCGTTCACCATGCTTGGTTGAGCATGAGACCTACATGTTCAGTAGAGCGTGACTGAAATGTGACTTTAGAATGAACTTTAAACGTGGAATAAAATATACTTTCCACGTTCTGCTTTAGCTTGCAATTTCTGTACTGAAATAAATCTCTTCATGTGTGCTTCCTTTCGAGTTTTTTTCCCTAAATTTTGAAGGGGACAAATTGTCCCCTTGGCCGTTTTCTTAAGGGACAATTTCACTTGCAGTGCCGTATTGGCACAATGGCGTGGCCTGGCTCAAACCCTGGAAAGTGACAAAGTATCAGTACTTATCGATTGTTTGATAGGATGTCAATGATCAGTATGGTCATTTGTCGTTAGTTAAAATATTGGAGGAACTATTTGTTCCACATTTTACCTTTTTTACTTAAACTGTCATTAATTTTGTCATTGCAACATGCACGTAATTATGATATGAAATGTTAATTTTTCAATATATTGTTGTTAATTTTTTAGGGCCTTGGGGTACCATTTAACATTGCAAGCTACTCCCTTTTAACACACATGATTGCACATGTCTGTGATCTCAAGGTAGGATGCATAAATTTTTTACAAAAAGAAAATGTAACTGTTTGTTGAACCATTATCCAACCTAACTTGCATTTGATTCTAAATTTCCTTTGATAAGGTTTCCCAGCCTTAAGTATATTATTTTATATTTACAGTAGTCAAAAGAAATTCTCCTGAAAACAGATTCTACCTACAACATTATGTACCCCCTATTATTCAAAACTGAATCATTGGATATCGCAATTATTCTAGAGTTTTGATTGGCTAAGCCATGATGGTATATTGGCTCATACACCATGCTTTCCAAATATGGTCGCTATGCATCAGTTCCAGACTAGTAGCAAACTGATAATTTTTCTTCATGGAGGAGGGAATGGGACCCAAAGAAAATTGTTTTACATGTAATTTTATTACAACACTAGAAAATGCAATATTTTATAATTTCAATGAAAGACAAAGAAAGACAAAGTAAAAAGAGTATGGAATGAAGTTTCCCCTGTTTCTCAGGGGAAAGTGAAGCTTATTTATTCTTCTTTTTGAAATAATTTTTAGCCTGGAGACTTTGTTCACACCCTTGGAGATGCACATGTCTATCTGAATCATGTTGACGCTTTGAAAATCCAGGTAAGAGGAGTTATGTCGAGAATAAAGTTAATTCCCACTTTTGTTCTCACAATTTGTCATGTATTAATATGCAATGAAAGTAGTCTCTGATAGCTCTAGGCTAGTAGATTTTGCTATCGGGCTAGTGAATTCTGTCTTTAAAATTACCAAAGAAATGCATGTTATCATTATCCTGCTCATCAAACCTTTTTTGGGGGCTAGTTGAAATGACTTTTAGGCAAGTACATGCTAGCTATTCGGGGAAGTTGTAAAACTAACTTTCTTTATATCCTGCTGTATAGGGGTGTATAACCAATAGGTGCATGTCCATGTACCGGTACATGTCGCTTTTTGGAATCGTCATACTAGTTATCCAGGTGATGCTCCTCCAGCTCCCCCAAGTCTCTCTAATTTTTATTATTCAAATGGATATGATGGCTGAAAAACAAAAACAAAAAACAAAGAGAAATTGATCACTATGAATTCTTTTGACAGCTTACAAGAGAACCACGCCCATTTCCAACTCTGAAGATAAAAAGGAATGTTGAAGACATTGACAGCTTCAAATTTGAAGATTTTGAGATCATAGGATATGATCCACATCCAACAATTAAAATGAAAATGGCTGTGTAAATACAGAGGATAATATGTCTTATGTAAATATAATGCTGCACACCTTTTTCATGTGCATGTGCACTGTAATTCACTGAAACGTGAACAGCAGCATTAATACATGTATGGGGTCTATATGAAGTGTTCTGTGATTTGACTACAGTGAAGCTTGATGATAAGACCTCCAGAATAAATGCACAGGGTTGTTTAACTTTTCGAATTTGAAATGAAGAGTTGACAGCAGGCTAAACACAACTTATAAGCTTGTGATGTGAAACGTGACCTTGGACTTGGAGTTAGCTTGAACTACAGAGGTTCCCTTCTTCTTTCGCTTAGGTTATGTAATACACTGAGTATTTTAAACGCTGACTGAGCAAAAATTACTTTTGCCATTCTAAGTCTAACATTTAGAGGTCATGAAGCTGGTCTGTTTCATGCATATTGAGTAATTATTTCCTGTGGTCTGGAGCGCGATGTCCTACTGTACAGTTCCTCTGATGGCATTTACTTTTGCGACTGAACAGTGATAGTGCATTTTTGTTACAAGTGCCTAATGTGAGACTGCAGTAAAAGGTTCCTCATCAGTTGGTAGTATGGTACATGTCTTCACTTTGTGAAGAGAGGCTAACTCTAAGGTCATGTTTCACACAGCAGTTATTAGTCTCATTTGGCCTGTCAATACTATTTCAAACCGGATGTTTTGCTTAGCACGTTCAGCCATTGATAAAAGGTTTACTTTCTTGGAAAGGTAATAGCCCATCAAAAAATACCTACCATATTTGCAAAAGAATGTGACGTCACCGGACAACATTATAATGCTTGGAATTCAGACATCTCTCTCCTCCATGCCCCTCACAAGTTAGGGGATGGAAATGTGTGACAGTTCAGACTGATGTAAAATGTAACACTTAACCACTTTTATGAATTAAAAGGTTTTAAAATGATGCAACAAACTCCGCACAGCACATAACTTTCAAGAAATGCAACTTGTTAATCTCTGAGAAGTGCTGTATTTTTGCAGAATTTTGTAATAAATGGCAATAAAACATCTAACAGTGAGTCTTTTGAAAAGTCTTGCATTATGTAAGAACACGCGAGCGATCGCAAGTCACAAGGAGCTTTCCTTCCTCGCTCTCGTGTGTTTTTTTCTCATGGCGTGCATGCGTGACCTCTGACTTGTCCTAGGAAAGAGAAGTGTGAAGTCAAAAATTCAGATTTGTAAAATTTATTATGGGTCGGACTGGTTAGCATATTCAGAGAGAGAAGAGAAAAGAGCTCCCCTGCCAAACATCAGCCTGTTAGTGCAAATTGGTGAGGAGATATAAGTGCTGATTTTCTCTGATGACTCCATACACATCCTTCTAAAATAGGCTTGGACAGGAGCCTACTACCCAACAATAGGCTCCTGTCTTGGATTGTAACGTTAATGATCCCAACCAATATTAGATGGATTTATATAAAGTCATCGGAGCATGATGTTGCTTATTTGCACCAACAGGTTAATTTTTAGCAAGTAAACATGCTTTGTCTTGTTCTCTCTGGATAGGTCAACCAATCCCATACTTTCACAAATTTAGTTCTTGTGACGTCATCACTTCTCTTCTCTATATATCGACCCTGGCAAAAAATAGGACTTTCCATTCATTTTGCAGAATTCCCTGACTTTGAGAAAAGTCTGGGCTGTCATTAATAATTAGCAGGTGCAGGTACGGGTGTAAACTGAAGATGTTCGGATTAGGGTAAAACTGCTACACTCACCTGGCCCCAGTTGTCCGACCGGTGGATATCGCTATTCACTGGGTAAATCTCTATCAAAAAGATAGTGCAAATGGTTTCCCTAATATTCATCCGCTGGATAGTGATTTATCCACTAGATCGACGTTTGAACAACCGGGCCTGTTAATTAATCCCTCCAAATAAATCTTGGTCTCCCTCACAGCCGTTTTTTTGGATGTCACGCAACGCTCTCCAAGTTCTTTTTGGGGAGCGTTGTGTGACATCCAAAAAACGGCTGTAAGGGAGACTAAATAAATCTGCGTATCAAAGTTCAATATAATATGATGTGGTAGATATGAAAAACGTAAACAAAAAATCGAAAATGAAAAAAATAACGCACATGTTTTTTCACTGTTTGTTCCTCCAAAGAAGACGTGAAAATATTTGTTTAGGGGTCAGTTGTTACTGATCAACCATTTTCAGTGGTCAGGGATAGCGTTACAGCTGTTACATGGATTTATCCAATGGAGGTTTTTTTTTATTGCCAGTTAGCTTAGTTGGCAACTCTAAGTTGTTTTCGACCCATCTATGTTTCTACACTTTTCAGTCTTACCTCTGAACAGGTCTAAAATGATGTTTACTGCTGTAGTTGACTTCCTTCCACCAGGAAATTTGGTACATCTCACGACTTTTTTTCCATTTCTCACTACTTTTCCCCGGTACTTTTCACAGCTCTAGGTTCAGAGTTTCACATTTTTTTACTTTTTGTGGGTTGGATAGTCTGAAGTAATAGAAAACTAATTGCGTTATCCACTGCATAAAGAATTTTATGTCATAGCCACGTGTTCATGCGTGTCACGTACATCGTCACGTACATCAAGATAGTTGTGGCCGCGAAACACTGGAATCTACACTTAAGTCGGCCATCTTGTTTTTTTCTTCAAGTAGTCCTCGAGAATTATGAGGTGAAAATAGGCTACATGGCTGGTATATTTTGATAAAGAGAGCTACCTTATTGGAGGGACAACCGTCTTAGTTCAAGTGTTTTAAGGTAACATCATTTACAGTGTAACCATGAAAAATGTGCGCGTATACAGACTTCTTTGAACAAACGTCAGCTAATATTTTTATGATCTTTCTTGTGGCTTATCGATCTGTTTTTGACCATAGTTCTCACTAAGCTATTCAAGTAATTTTTTTTTACGAACTGAACCGTATTAATTTAAAATATTTTTTTCGGGATTGAATATTCTTAAATTGTATCTTTGTTGTCAGCAAAATATTGCTGTTTGAAGGCATTAAGCTTGTGTACATCAGTGGTTACGTAAGCTTACCAAACAAGGAGTTAACCAATTAATTTTCATCCCTTTCACACCTAACAGTCTGAATAGTTGCCAAAGAAAATTATTTACTGGAAGGACAAACCTCTCTCTGTAAAATTCTTAGAAAAGGACTATCAAAAACGTAAAAGGTCAACCCAGCAAGGTTTAGTTTGACCGGTAACACCACAATTTTAAAGTGGAGACTCTGTATGATTCCTGCGGACATCACTTTTGTTGCACTTTTTCCATCGAATCATTGGTTGTTTATTGAAAATATTGTTTTGGATGACAGTGCTATCAGCGAGCTTGAGAAACCATGACAACTATGAAAATGAGAAAAGGAAAAAGTAGTTTTAATCACAGGCGGCCCAGACGTAGTATGTGTCACTGAATGAATATATTAATATCCACATGGACAAATTAATGCGATGAGTCGTCGAAACTCCCATGGACTAAAATAGTCTAAAAGTCAAAATATAACAAAACAAAGCTAAGATACCTTTAACTGAACATATCCTTGTCTTTCCTGGCCGGTTAAAGTGGCATTTTGTTGAGTTTTGCAATTGTAGGCACAATCCACTAAAGAAAAATTAAAGGCTGGCTACAAAACAAACAGACCATCTCCACGCTCCTTCACACGAAGCGCTATAAATTCGAGAATAATCGACGAATCTGCTCCAAATAACCATCGGCTAATCTGCAGGTAACGTGTGCTCCTGCTTCTGGCTCGCTTGCTCCACAAAATCCATGGCAACTGCACAATAATTGCTCGCTCATCAACAACCACTGTTGACCTTTACGCTTCGATATGACCGCAAACGACCAGGTTTAATACGCGACGTGAATATTCAAGCTTAGCGACCGCGTTCGCGCAACAATGCAGCACTTGCTATGGGAGGGATGGTACTATTGCTTCCAGGTCAATCGACTGACCGAAGGTTCGCTGCGTTAGTTTTGACCAGAAAACAAAAGGCGATCGCGGGACCGTCCGTAAGTTTTCAACAGGGCAGCCCTGGTTTTCATGTTCGAATTCTTCTAACGTTCGCTGTCTCAGCTGCTGTCACATTGTTCGTCCAGCCGCTTGCATAGGTTCTTGACTCTACCAGACTTATTTGCTTAGATTAACAACGTCTTACTCCATAATATGTTGTCCAAACTGGTGAAGGAGGACGAGAATTTTCCGCCCAGGAAAAAGGCAAAATCTGGCCCCCGCTATGCAGCTGAATAGAAGATACAGCTGAAGATATCGTAAGGTAAAATTTATGTGCGCGATATCTTTTTTTATTATTATTATTATTCTCAAAACTCAGGGGCACCCAACGATGATTTCCCCCTAAATGCATCGAAAACACATTTAAGGCTGTCCAGGGTACTTTTGATCGAAAAATGTATTCTAAACAGCGCTTACATAAATTTAGTCAGGAGGGCTAAAAGCGAAGCTAATGATTTATAGTTTGCTCATACTAAATATAAAATATATCGTGTAATGCTAAGCGGAGAAGGCAACGAGACAGGGCCACCCAACGACTGTTTCCTCAAATACTTTCAATTGAAAACACTTCTGTAGCTATTCATAAAGTACTTTTAGCTCTATAGAAATGCATTCTAAGTGGCGCTATAAAATTTGCATCTCAGTGTTCGGCCATTCTAGAGGAACTTGAGTCTTTTCGAAATTACGAGGAATTCAGAATTATTTTCCCGAAAATTTTAGATGCAATTTAACGTATTACGAAGGAGATAATTTTTCAGATACCTTCTTTCATCACATTTTTGAATCCGAAAATTTTAGGATTCCATTTTACTCTCTAAGAAAAATAGCCTAACCCGGTGAGTGAAATGTGAAAAATTAAAAGTTGGATGCCCTTGACCAGAACTGTGAAAAACAACAATAGGTCTAATTGCAGCACACTTTCTTGTACATTTCCTTGCCGTTGATTTGCATGACTGCAACGTGAAACGTCCAGAAAACTTCCTGGTTTTCAC